GAGATTGTTTGGGAATTGGCAGACGGAGGGCAAGCTACCAGAGACCATTTGAGAAGCTCAAACCTTTCGGATTTCTCATTACTACGTCTCAACTTTCCAGTTTCTCTCCTCTTTAGACAAAGATTATTGAGGAGCTGTTCTTAGAAAATGCATGGAAGGCAGCAAGCGGTGATTATTTAGGAAATACCACGCTTTTTTACGCTTAATTGCTTTTTCACTTTCAAAACATGTTCTATGCCCAATTTGACGTTTTCACCAGGGGCAAGCCAGCAGAGACCATTTTGCAATCAAAAGCTCCTTAAAATCCCTTCCCAGCCCCTTTAAACCCCGCCGTTAACTTACTTTTTATGCCATTTCGTGCGCCGGTGTGGCGCCTCCGTTCACAGGAGCAAGGTGTAGGGGGTGGGATGTGGAGGAGGGACTTTTACAAAAGGCTTATTGTTGTGTGTGTAGCAAGGGGGAGGAGTCCGCCTCCACAGCTTCTCTTAAGAAAGAGAAAGAGAGAGAGGGAGGAGTGATAGGGAGGGGGGCCAGAGAAAGCGAGACACAACAAAAAGAAGCGACGCACTCGCTGTAAGGCCTAGGCCCACACAGTGAGAGAGAGAGAGAGAGAGAGAGAGAGATGGCCAGATGGCAGTTCGGGAGGACGTTGCTCTGTCTGTCTGCCTGTCCATTCCTTCGGAATTTTCTTGGCATTTACAACTATCGTCTAGCCGTTAGTTTTAATCTCTCTCTCCCTCTCTGTCTGTCTCCCTCCCTCCCCTCTCTCTCTCTCTCTCTCTCTCTCTCTCTCTCTCTCTCTTCTATTAATGCTCGAAATTGCCACTTTCCGCCGTCGTACTATCGATGATTTTTCTGTTTCCCTAAAACTTGCCCCAATCTTCCGGCTGGCACCCATCTCTCCCTCTCTCTCTCTCTCTCTCTCTCTCTCTCTCTCTCCCATCCAATGCATTTATTAATGGCCACTTCTTCCTCCATCAACTCCCCCTCGACACCAAAATACATAACGCGCCAGGCACAAATTTTTAGGATCAACTTTTCGTATTAAAACTATTTTTGTAGAATTTATATAGAGCTTTGGTGCGCCAGAACCTAGTCGGAATTTTCGATTTTCACAGACCTAAAAAATCGGCATAAAATCGAAGTAATCCCTTAATTTCAAAAATAATACCCCTAAATTTTATACAGATTGTACTATCCGGTGTGTAGCTTGATGATTATCTACCAAAAATCTGCCTTCACCAGCTCTTTCAACCGTCGAAAACCGTCGAAGACCCCATTCCCATGGCAGGTGCCTTGCTGCGCGGCGCGTAAAGTGCGAAGGGGGTGAATCAGGGGTCTCGCTTTGTCTCTTCTCCTCCATTCCAACCCAACCCAAATGGCCCAATCGATCCCTAAGAACGGTCCAGCCCACCAAGCGATTCCACTATGCAACTATCGACACACAACACACCGCTTCATCCTGCCTCGGGTAGGCTTAGGCTTCGGCTTCGGTTTAGCTTAGACTTAGGCTTGGGCTTAGGCTTAGCCAACCCTTGTGATTTAGCTTAGCTTGAACTTAGGCTTCGACTTAGCCTAGTCTGAGCCTGAACCTGCTACTCCCCACCCCTCCGATACCTTCCAGCTCGAGCTACGTGCTTCTTTCACATTCCCATACGACACTTTGGGCTATGGAATGTAAAGAAGTATGTAGGTTGGCGCCGGAAATTGCTAGCTCACACAATTTACAGGGTGTGCAAAAAAAAAAGACCACAGTTTGGGTCGAAATAACTCGTGAACGGTAGAGAATCGAAGGTACGTTACCATGCCAGAATGCTTAAATATGCTGGGTATGAAGATTTAACACAACTTGATTTTTTCGATTTTTGGCGACGTATCAATACAAATGACACCCGAAAACTGTGCGTTCGGGGAAACTTCATTTGTATTTTTCTCAGTTTCCTGTGGTGGCTGGCATCTAGTTTTTATTAAATAAGTTAATTTCGGCAGCAGATATGTACCTACAAAATTTAAGAATTTTTGAGGGTCTGGTTGAAAAGTTAGAGAGGAATGAAATTTTGTATGGAGAAATTTCGAAAATTTTTAATATTGAAAAACCCTATGGCGAAAACCTCAAAATCAGTTGTTGTGGAATACCTACGGGCTTGACACAATCGCATAAACATATTAAGGAATTTTTTGAGATCGACGAATTTTCGAGTTTTTCAACGACCCCCTGGTCATGGATTTTTCCAGGCCTCGAAACCTAACTTTGGAAAAATATTTCTAGATTGCCAAAGGGGCCTTATCTGTTTTCTTTGCTTAGCTATGTAGGACTGGGGTTGATCTATCATCTACAAAATTTCGAGCTACCGTACCCCTTTGGAAGGGCGTCTTTTAGGGCCTCCAAAACGGTTCGTTCGTGCTTTTTTCCGAATATTGTCACCATTTTATAAAATTTAGTCGCGCTTTGAAAATTTTCGTTTTATTTTTATCTGATATAATTTGAATAGCGCATCCTAAAACCTTATTCATGAATTTTTTTTAACCAGGCGTTGGCGTCAAGAAAATTCATCAAAACCCGAAATAAACCGAATTCGAGGTTGCGTAAAAAAATTTTGGAAAGTGGGGTCGTAGGGATATTTTGAGCAATAAGACAGTGCCATCAGTTGAATAAAACTATGCAAAGATTAAAGCAATTTCACGTCGCAAACATTTTAAGAAGATTTCTAAACTTCGATTTTGGAATAGGGTGATCTTCGATTTTGAGCTGAAAGTCACCATAATTTTGAATCAGATTGCCCCCAAATTTTACGGGCGTAGATAATAACATCAAAGCTATAATCGTATCCGTAAGATGCAGGTGGTTTTTTTATTTTTAAAATTTCGAAAATTGACCCGGCTACTCGGACCCAAAATCGGCTCTCTGGCCTTGTTTTGCACTTGGCCTCGTAACGTTGTTATTTACCACCCAAAATCAGTAATTTTTCACAGGTTATCTTACAATCAACTCTAGAAGGCCCTCGAATAGGAAAATCGTCACTTTATGGAATTTTGTGATGGCATGCTAAAACGCGCTCCACGTGGGTTACTGTAGAAAACCGAAATTTGCGATTTTCGTGGTGTTTTTGCCATGGAATCGCTTCGATCTTTTCGGAAAACCAATAGTAGCAGTTTTTGGACCAATTGACCAAAAAATTTACAAAATTCTGCCGCAGAATTAAAAAATCTGTTTTTAATCTTTTTCATGAAAGTTTGTGGATAATACGCTCTCGTATTTGGCAGTAAGGTGCCCCTACTTATTGCCTAACAACCCAGAAAATTTTAGCCGAATCGAAGCTAGGGGCCCCGAGAAAAGCGGGAAAAACAAAATCTACAGTACCCCCGCTGGGGCACGATTTAGCAAGCAATACAAAAATACCATAGATTGTGCTGGGTTCTGGTGTGGGATCCTAGATTATTATTTGGATAATTCATTGGCAAAAAAACAGCCATGGGCAGTGAGTTAGAAGTGAGTTATGACTAAAAGGATAAAAATAACGCAAAATCGCGAAAATTGTTTTGCTTTTAAAAAATGAAATTGACCTCGATAAATTCTAAGATTTTGCCATTACATTTTTACAAATTTATACTATTTTTAGGCCAAAAATCAGAATTTTCCCACCTCCCGTTCAAGAACGCACAATTTTCGGTCGTAACCAGCGTCAATAGTACAGTTTCGTACTCAAAAATCGAAAAAATCAAGTTGTGTTAAATCTTCATACCCAGCATATTTAAGCATTCTGGCATGGTAACGTACCTTCGATTCTCTACCGTTCGCGAGTTATTTCGACCCAAACTGTGGTCTTTTTTTTTTGCACACCCTGTATACGGGTTTAAAGAAACTCGCAAGGCAGGCATACATATGGACTTTTTTGCGTAGAAACGCCTACGAAGGCTCGGGGCACCTATGAAAAGCCCCAAAGGACTACTTTCCGCAAATGATCTCTGCAAGACTAGCTGCAACTCTTGATGTATTACGCAATGAAAAACGGATGGGACATGGCTATAGTTTGCTGGTCCCTTTAAACCCCAAAAATGAGGAGCAAAACCCGTCAGTATAAAAAATTCTTAGCTGAAAAATGCTTAAAATCCGAAGGGGATGTTTTAGTTTAGTTATTTTAGGACTTACAGTACGTTGCAATACTCAGAACTCCCAAAAATCTATGGATCTGCTGCTTGTCTGTTCACGATCAGTTGATCTGTGTGCTTATGGGCTAGATTTCGTGTCTCTGGCTCTCTCTCTCTCTCGTGTCTCTCTCGCTTCGAGTTATAGATAGCTGGAACAGTTGTCCCTTCCGCCGGCCCCCCAGCGATGCCGAAATCGAGCCGATGTGGGGCATTGTAAGGAACGGCAGAAGGGGACCGACAGCCCACCCACACCACAGATCAAACTCTTTCTAGCTCTCTCTCACTCTCTCTCTCTCTCTCTCTCTCTCTCTGCCGGGCCCTTTATCGATTTATCGGGCCCCCTTGGGCCGAGGGGATACAACCACAAATCAGGGTCCGGGGGATAAATTGATGGGTCTGGGGGTGGGTGGGTGGAAAGTTGAGGGGTTCCCACGGTTTGCATTTGTCGGTCTTAAAGGGACTGGTAAGTCATGGACAGGGATTTCACCCATGGATTCCATATGATTTTTGCCGCCTCGCTACAAGTACGCGCCAAAGAACTATTATTCGAACTGCCATGTCCCTTTAAAGTCTTTCTGCCTAGCTATTAGCCAAGAAGCAAAAAGTTTGACCGGCGGGGGAATCGAACCCGCGCTATCTGCCTGACACGCGAGCGCACAACCAATTGATTAAAAGTAGAAGGTCGCGCGTTGATAAAAAACCGTTGTAAACTTAGAAAATAGATTTATTAATATTCGCAATACTACAGGATTGTACATCTCCTCAAAATCGCATCGAAATCGTCTCCCCGCTGTAGACATCGTTGTTTCGTCCCGTATTGCTGGAAGCTCCAAAATACAAAATGACCATCACGCCCACCTGATCACCTCCAGAAAATCGATCATGGCCTGGTAGAGCTTGCCGAGCTGGGCATTCCCATGCAGGTGCCGTTGTCTGGAAGATTTCTGCTTCTTTTGTTTTTAGTTTGTAACCCACTTGGCCATCACTTGAATCTCGCGGTCGAGCAGTTTTTGGACGTGGGCCAGCGGGCGGTGGCTAATCTCGTGCTGGCAGATTAGAAACCCTGAAAATAGTCGAATTTCGAAACCTTTTTTCCTTGCGCGAATTCCTAAATTCCGACACCATTTCCGGAATCCTCACGCTAATGGTTATAACTTTTTCTCCTCAAAATTAGCCTGGAGACCGAGAAATTGGGCACCCTAGTGAGCATGACTTCATCTAATACCCGTCTTACTACGTTACTTTACTTTTTGCGTACCGGCTCTGAACCTCTCCGGATCGGCGCCATCCCTCTTCTTCGCCCTCTTGTAGATGAACGCCGCGTTGGAGCGTATTATCCCAGAGACGACACGCACAATCCCATCCAACTCCTCCATCAGACCCACGTCCGGACACAACAAACCCGCCATCGATACCTGCCAGAGATTTATATTAAAAATATATAGGTCGACAAATTGAAAACATTAAAATTCGAGAAAATAATAAACAACACTTGCACTCACATTTTCATCGAGCACACCCCGCACGTGGCCCAAAAAGTTGATGAGCATCCGGATTTTGTCTAAAATCAGAAATAAATTTAATTTCAAGCAGAGGAGATCCCCTTTCGGATCTCTTAAAGTTAACCAAATTTATCGATAAAAACTGACCACCATCCGCCTCTCCTGCTAACATAAATTGCATAATTTCGTTGAAGTGTGTTTCCAAAATCGGCTCAATCGGTGTCGCGGCACTAGAAAAATCCCGCCATTTTAGTCTTCTTACTCTTTTTATTCTGTTTTTTAGTACTTACCCATCCGAAAAGCCGCTCTCCCGCTCGGTTTGATCAGCAACGAGTTGGCATTTCGTGACCTAAAAACAATAGAAAAATAACACGATCGGCGAAACCTCTTCTTGCTCGTTTCTTTCCTTTTCCACCGCCTCATAAGCGTCAATTCTGGACTGAAGCAGGGCGCAAGTCAGCCGCAATTCTTCTAGCTAAAAAATCGGCTGAATGGGTTGAGGAAAAGTCGAGACCTCGTCGAATAAGGCTTGTGCTTGTAGCTGCTTCTCCCGTCGAATTTCTGCGTCTAGCTCCTCGGTGCTGACCCTAAATAAAAAAAATAGGATTTACTCCGTTTTATGGACTACGACGACGGTTTGTACGTACTTTTTCAACGGACCACGAGGCAAAAAAGTACGCTTTGTACGGGCTACGGTTAAGAAAAAAAATTGTGCTTTGTACAAATTACGGTTCAGAAAAGGCGACGCTTTCCAAGGGGTTCGTTGCAAAACTAACGACGTTTTGTAGGGACGATGTCTCGGAAAAGTGAGGTTTTTTACGGATCACCCGCCAGAAATAATGACGTTTTATACGGACCACGATAAATAAGTTTTGTAACAGAGAAATAACAAAATCCTATTAAAGAAAAGCGGGAAAATTTCACTTTACGGTATGGTCCCAAAATGTCGATTTTTCGACTGGAATCGATCCAGCTCGATGAGTTTGTGCGTTTCCAGTTGAAAAAACGATTGGGAAACGCTTCTGGACAAAGTTATAAGCTTTTGAAAATCGCTAGTTCACTTTACGGTATGTGAACAAAACCTAAATTTTTGAACAGGAAACGATAAAGCTCGATGAGATAAAGCGTTTTCAGTTGAAAAAACAATTGGGAAATTTAAAATAAGAAAGTTATGACGTTTCAAAGATATTTTTGCTAAGGACTGTAGGCTACGCAACACTCCTATCCACGCCTTCTAGCGCGTGCGCTCTCAGCCAGCGGTTACGTACTTATCTAAAAGCATTTAGAATTTTTAAAACGAGTATTTTAAGCATAACATAGATAAATAACAGTTAGTTGTGGCCTCCAACATTGTCAGGCAAGGTGGGCCGTCGCTTCGGATGGGCTGCCGCTCCACTCTTCCGAAATCGGGGCGCCTGGGCGCTGCGCGCGCTCCTCGGGCGCCCCGATTTCGAAACCCTGTACGAGCTCGCACCCATCCGAAGCGACTAGGCCCCCGGTGGCACGAAGCCTTATTTTTAGGCTTAAATTGGGTATTCAGCTAGCAATCCCCTTTAAAAAGTCCAATACTTTGGTCAATTTTCAAAAGCTAATAACTTTGTCCAGAAGCGTTTCCCAATCGTTTTTTCAACTGGAAACGCACAAACTCATCGAGCTGGATCGATTCCAGTCGAAAAATGGACATTTTGGGACCATACCGTAAAGTGAAATTTAGCCAGAAAAGCTACGTTATGTACAGATTACACCCCCAGAAAAAGCGCCGCTTTCAACGGACTAGAGGTAAAAAGCGCCCTTTACGACGAGATACGGCTCAAATGCTTACGCTTCCACTTTATTCACATCCCAGGAGTACGAGTGACGGCTAACTGAACGCTCCCCGGGCTTTACACCATCTAAATATACTTAAATATTTATTTATGAAATAATCAAATACCTGCATCCTGCCAGCTATCCCCAATGATCGTCAACTGTTCCGATTCTCCATCAATATCCATGGCACTTCTCGTGCTCGCTTCGAGTCCTCTCAGCGAATCCCCAATCCCAGATTCCGCCATTAGAGCATCAGATCGTCGTGAGTCTTCCCTCGTATCCTCCACCCTCCAGCTAGTAGCCATTATTGTCGCTTCATTGTGGAAATCGTGGTCATCGGGCTCGGGTTCTTCAACATCGCTAGTTTGTGTTGACATTTCGAACATCATCTTTGACGACTAAATCTTGGTTTTTTTCCATGTGGCGTTTTTCTTACCGTCGATGCTTTCCCAGTCAAACCGTCGAGCAACACCTCCGATATCATCACCATCCTCTCGGATTCCCTGAATTTTTACGTATTTTAATACATTTCTTTAGCTTCCTTTTGTTCCTTGTTCATTTCTCTTTCTTTTTTATTTAAAAAGTAATATTTTATTTGTGCGGTGATAGATTTTGCGTCGAATACGAAAAATACCCACTCGATCACCTCCACAATCTGCGCCGATCCTCTCCTAGATGTATTCACCGATGGACCAACGGATGGCGAGGTCCCGAATTCAACCAGCGGCCCAGGCCACGGATTTGCCTAAATTCAGGTCTAATTCCTAAAAATAGCCCATCACACCGTAGAAAGCTTCTGCAACTCTCCCAGCATTTCCTTGGAACTCAACCGATCGTCGGTAGATGTCACCCACGCAGATGTGATCAGCTCCCATATCTAAATGAATATACCATGAAATCAGTAATTTTCTAATGTTGAAGATGTCATTAAAAAGTATCAGCAGTAATAAGGCTACATTATCATCGCATTCGATCCTCGGTGGGCGCAATTCTTTGTCGCACATCATTGCGTGCAGATGATTTCCCTTACGATCGTCGTGAAGCTTTCTGAGATTAAATTCAACGTATTCGATCTCCAAACATACCTCCTCGACAGCAATTGCCAGAAGATAATAGCACTGGCGAAAACGTCTGATTTCCGGTCGTAGTTCTCGTTTAAACACTGAAAAACGAGGCTATAATTCTCATATACTCTCAAAATATTTTAATAAAACGCCAAATATTTCCCTTTAAACCCAAATCACTTAAAAAATATACTAGGGGCCAAGAATTTGAAAAGACTTTATGATAAAGTAGTTTTTGATAGCCAAAAACAGAGTTTTAGGCTTTTTCAAAGGGTTTTACGGTGGTTTGACGTTTATAAACATAAAAAAGCTATGTAAAACAACATTACAATAGTTTATTGAGTTTTTATACTTCCTTGAAAAAAATTGGGCTAAAGATGGTTATTTTAAAAGAAAAAAACAACCTCAGGCGCCAACCAATAAGCCGAGCCCTGCGCCGGGGTCATTGTGTGCTGCTCTAGCCGCGTCAGCCCGAAATCGCACAGCTTCACCGTGAAATGATCCTCGGAGAGTAGAATACTAAAAAACAATTGTTATTATTAACGAAGTAACGAACTTTCTCGGCTTCACGTCCCGGTGGATAATATCATTGGCGTGTAGATGGCAAAGGGCTCGTAAAATCTGAAAGATTTAGGTCAGACATAAAACATTTTTAGTAAAATCGAGTTTCCAAGCCTATCATGTGCAGAATTTCACGCTGATTTCGAATCTGTTTTCCAAACCTGCAAAAAGACCCTATTCAAAAAAATTCTGCAGCTTTTGAGCACCAAAAAGACCCAACATGGCAGAATTTCGAGAAATTTTCGGGTTTTTTCGACAATAAAAAGCTTCAGAACTTCTTTAACCTAGTCGTTTCATAGATTTTGAAAACGGAATAATGGGATTCAGCGCGAAATTGGGCACCAAATAGGCTGAGCACCGTGGAGAAACTCAATCTTCACTAAAAAACGCGCCTTGTGAGATTAGAACAAACCTGCTGCATCCAATTGATGATATGCCCCAAATCATAGTCCCATTTCTCCTCGTAGATCACTGAATAAAAAGTTTCAAAAACGTCCACCCAAAACCAACTGATGTCCAAATCCCCGCCGCCCATCATCTCCATCACCATGCCCGGCTGCACGGCGTTCTGCCGCCGATTTGGGTGTCTAACCAATACGGTAAAATCCAATGTTGAATGGTACTTACACAACCATCCCATACACGCGAATCATATTCGGATGAAACTGGCCGACCGTCGACAGCAACCCGAATTCCTTGTGCAACAGCGCGTCATGCTCGACGCGGAACGAGAATTTGATGGCTACATCGCTAAAAAGTTTTAGTTTGGTTTTAAAAGCCTGCAAAAAGGTCTTCATTAAAGGGATGCCGACGGCATAGACAATCGGTTACGCGCGGAAAAGAAAATGTCTCTGCGCCTCTCCCCTGGGCGCGCTCTCTCCCCTGTTGGCTACTTGCCAATTTGTTGATGGGGTGGATCGACACATTTAACTTTAACAAGCTGTCTTACCCCAAATATTTATGTTTAGCCGGTACGACCATTCCAAAAGTCCCATCGCCCAGCCGGCGCCCGTCCCACGAAAACTAAAAATGGACTTTAAGTTTTATCTAAAACTCTCACATCCTCAAACTCCAAATTGAATCGACTGTTCGTCGCAACCTCATCCTCCTCGCGAATTTGCTAAAAAACTGTCCAAAAACTCGGTTCTTTCCCATTATCGGGGGAGGGAGGAGGCGAATTTTTCCTATAGCCCAGATTTGCGGTAGTAAATGTTTTACTAGAGGTTTTCATTAAACATGGCCGTTTCAAGTGGAAAAATGATTTAGCAACCCTGAAAATGCCTAAAGATAAAAAAATAAAAATAAAAAATCTTAAGAAAATTCTAAGCAAAAGACCCCTCCCCCCCCGATAATACCAAAGAACCGAGAAAAAGGATACCTTCGCTTTGGCCTTCTGGAACTTTTTGGCCTGGGCCTGGGCCATTGTTGGAAACTACCTGAAAAAAGCATAATAAAAACGGGAGCTTTCGCATTATCGGGGGGGGGTGCTTACAAAGGATCTGGTTTTTCCAATAGAATATGGTACAAAAATGTCCACTTTTCGAATATTACTCGAATGTCTTTTCATTGTTTTCTATTTGAAATCTAGTTAAATTTACTAAAACACGAATAACTGCTTAGTATTACGTTGATAGGCATTTCTCGACTTACAGGAAACGATCTCCCCCCCGATATTGCGAAAGCGCCAAATTAGGAGTCAATAAAGAAAGAACAATATTTGCTGGAGTTAAGCAACGAAATGTCGAGTCGGAGTGCAGATAAACGGACATTCCATTTGATGAATCATCACTGCAGGGCTATAAATGCCAATTCTAGTTTATTTGCGACTTCAACGGTTTTTGGGATAAAGAAGGCAGATTTTTGGTTGATGTTTCAGAAGGCGTAACCGCGAAAAACGGGCTATCGATCGCGTTTTCGACAGGATGGCTTAGATCTGGTTGAAGGTAGGGCCGATGGAGAGAGACTTTTCGACTTCTTCGAGTGCCATGTTCTGCTATCGCAGGCGCGTTCCTTCAGCCAGCGCCAAAGATAACGGCACAGCAAATGGGGTTTCATCGCCCAAAGTGCCCCGCAAATTCAGAAAGAGTGGGCGGAAGTGGCCGTTAATTTCGTGCAAACAATTCTTGCCGAGGTCATGGAATCGGGAAAAGTTACTTAGTACTAAAATTATTAATTTTTACAGCCACTAAAGCGTTGCAGGTTTTAAAAGAACGGTCGCAAGCGAACAGCTCGAATTCAAAATATCTATTTTATTCCATAGAACTCGAGTTCTGTCTCATTATCGGGGGGCTTTTTCTAAAGCTCCCTTCCTTCTAATATAAGTAGAGATGTTGTTTCTACACTATTTTTTTACTATTCTTAAACGCAAAAACTTGCCGAATTTTATTTCTAAACTACAACTTTATCGACAAAAATCTCAACTAAAAATTGTTTAGTTTTTGATGGGATTCTGTTTACTTCAAATACAGTTAAATTTTACCAAAGATTTTATTAAAATACGTACAATTAAATTATCATGCATTTATGGACTTATGGGAAAGAAGGACCCCGGAATTTGCTAGATATCAAAACGTACGAAAAGTGCTATAAAACATTATTTTTTTTACATTAATTTCAGGGAATGCTTCGACACGCACTCTGCGCTTCTCTTTCGGTCGTATCCCCCCGCGTAAATAGGTGTATACGTAGGTACTGCCTTTCCATTGCTTCTACAACCGAAAGCCAGCGACTAGCCAGCCCCTTTAATCAAATCAGGCTTGATAACTGGTCTTCCTTGCCTCAAACAAGTATCCCTCTCTAATGGTTGCCCTACTTTTGAAGATGTACAAGCAACTCTTCCCATTTCCAACCCATTCCACCTTGCAAATGCTGATCAACTTCTTTTTATTCCCCCTGACTCTGGCTCTCGATTGGGATTTCGACGATCCGGATACTTATCAGGGTGGCGGCTTCATGGACTGCGGCACGAAAGGCGCCAATAATCGCTTTTTTGTCTTTTTCATGGAGTTGGAGTGCCCGTTGAAAGTCGGTAAGTAGGCTGTCGATTACTTTTCGAAGCCGTTCCATACCGCACGACCCCTTTAGTCCCGTCGTCTTTTTGCTGTCAAGTGCATAAACGATGCTATGAGGATCACGAGGAAAAGGTACCTTCATTTTCCCCAAATATACAAACCTTTTATTAAAAGGGCTCCTGCGATTCGGAATTGTGCCTCTGTTTGGAGCATGCAACTGTCGGTCATGTTGGATGCCAGGTAACCTTCTTGTAATTCTGGCAAAGCCTCCTTCCAGAACCATGCCCGAAGGTTTTGCAAGCAAACAGCTGACGACAAGGAGACGTACCATGAAATGCAATTTTTATTGGGCCTTGAATAAATGTTAATCAGATCGAGCAGAACCAATTTAGGAGCAAAAGCAGAATCACGAAGGGTGTTATTAGCTAAAGAAGAAATATCATTAGGAGAGCCACTTCGTCCAGTTTGTCCATATCTTAGCGGTCGACTTTCAATGGAATCTTTCAAGTAGAAAAGCTTTAACTACTAACGCAAATAACTAGTGGCGGCGGTTCTTTCCGGGTCGTGAAAAAATTAGCATACAAGGAAAATCCGAATAGTAAAACTTGCAGCATAGCAGAAGAGGTAATGTGTCTTGCTTAACATTTCCCAACGATTTCTTTGGATTTCGTACGATGAAGCCAACATGTCGAGGTACCGACAAATCACAGTTCAGCGAATGGACGAGGTTCGCAGAACCTTCAGTTTCAACATTGTAACCTTTATAGATAAACGAGTATTGAGACGACAAGACCTGCCAAGACGACCCAAACATTGCCCCCAAGAGATGCCGGCAGCTCCAAGGGCCCGTATGCGAATCTGGCCACCCAGAATGTGCTCGACAAGCTGAAGGGGGTGGAAACCAAAGAACCCACGGATCGCCAGTTTACCAAAGTAATTTCTCGTTCAAGATAAAACTGTTTAGGGCACACGTGAGGCCGAGCGCACTGCCATGAAGAAACGTCTGCTGCAGGCTAAAAAAGATATGCGAGAGGCCGAGAAGAACATCGATCAAATGCTGGAAGAGCTGGAAAAAGAAGAAGCTGAGGAGAACAAGCTTAGAGGCGCTTTCACAAAGTTAAATGCTCAGGTTCGTTTCCACATCTTTAAAAACAATATTTCTAGATGGGGGAAGTCGACCACCGTCGCCCACTTCTGCGTGAGCCATTGCCCCCAGTTCGTGATTTTGTGCGGTTGGTGGTTAATTGCATTTTAGCTGGCTCCTGTCAGTGTGCCACCAGACTTCAAGGAACCCAAAGCGAAGCTGGCACCACCCGAAACGAAGAAGGCCAAGGCCCTGCCGCCGTGTCGCCCGGTATCGTGCCTCGGCTCTAACTAAATTTTAATTTATTCAGTACAAAGCTTGCCCACCGAAAAGCCCGGGTGCTGAAGGCTCAACCGCATATGGCGTGACGGAGGGATCGGGCAAAAACCCGTAAGGTACTCCACGCTTCTTGACCTTAATTTAGGCCACTGACCCCGGCTGAGAGGGCGAAACGATACAGGCAAAACAAGCGGCAAGCTGTTGATCAATGCGACCACGAAATTCCGGCCCCACTCTTCGAACTGGATCAAGATACGGACTAGCCTTAATTTTCGTGAACATGTTCTAAATGGTTATAATTAATTTATCCGCACCCTTCCCGGCGAACTGCCCCACACTCGCATTGATTTTTCGGGACCATAATATTTTTTGTCTTATGTTTGTCATAAAGGATTGTTTAATTGAACATGTATCTACATTAAAAAATTCAACAAGCTTCAAAATAAAAAAAACAAAGAATGTTCTCAAAAGTCCAATTCCTCCTCGTCTGGTTCGGTTTTCAAGGCTGCGCCGTCTTGGTCCTCTTCTTTCACGTCTTCCGCAGCGACTCCCCGTCTTTTGTTCACATCGAAATTTGCCCCGCTCAAGAGCTGAATGGAAATATGTGAATACATGCATCAACTTCTACCTTTGGATCTTTCACTTTCTTATCTACAGCCGCCATCACAGTCTTCTGTCGCTCTGCCACGGCGTTGAATAGCTGGACGACACCCCTGAAAAGAAGTAATTCAAAATTAGAAAAGCGAACAAACTGTGTGGCTATCCGTCGCAACAACCGCTCACGCTCCTTGTCCTTCACAAGATCTGGCTTCGTCAGCGCCCACAAATCCTTCACTTGCTTCTCCGAGCGTTTATCGGACAGCTCGCGCTTCGTCAATCGTCGGGGTTTTTGCTGAAACGAACTTTTGGAAAGGCGTATGTGGACAAACTTTTCTTTCCCCCCCCCCCCCCCCCCCCCCCCCCCCCCCCCCCCCCACCCAAAAAAAAAAAAAAAAAAAAAAAAAAAAAAAAAAAAAAAAAAAAAAAAAAAAAACCCCCCATGGTCTTCTGTTGTCTTGGGACATCGAATGTGACGGTTTTAGCTTCGTCGTCCTAAACGTATAATAGTTGCGTGAAAAAGTCGTACTTCAAGGCTGGTTGTCGGTCCTGCTGTTTCCATTTGCTCATCTGCATCGCTTTCCCCGGATCCTTCATAGATCTCGATTTTATCACGGGCCGTCATGGCTTAAAAGATAATATTAAACGAATTATAAAAGAGTTATATTTAGAAAAAGGGAAAGGAGAAAGTCGAGAAAAGTCGAGAAGTTGGAATTTAGGCGAATTGAAAAGTAGGATTAGGCCAGGTAAATCGGCAGGTACCCGTCGATCCAGTCGGAAGGGCGAGCAATAGCCGGCAACCTTTGTTTACGGCATCTATCGCAGCGGCATCAGATTTGTTTGTTTCCTCATTTTCTCTCTCAAATCTGCGACTTTCTCGAAAACAACGTCTAATTTAGGTTGTCGATTTGGCTTCATGCTACGGGCAGCCTCAACAAGTTTACTACGATTGGCCTCCTCGGGTAAAATAGCGTCAAGATTACATAATAATCTTTACAGGACGCCAAACGTTCCCCGCAGCCCTACAATGGTCAAAAAGCTCAATAAGGAGGGCATTACCAGCAAGGTATGCGTTAAACACTATTTCTAATTCTATTCCTAGTCATTTATCAACTCAGAGCCCGCCAAATCTGCCGCCCGAAGAACAAGGACGCTATAAAATAGCCACCGTGCCGAATGCGCTCTGTGTTGCCAGGTTTTTCAAATATTTAAAAGCTAATGAAGTAATTTTTAGGATAGGCCTAACGCCGGTTATCGGATATTTGATATGCTCAAGCCAGTTTACACCAGCTCTAGGGCTATTCGTCTTTGCTGGTGCCACGGACTTGGTGAGTGGCTTTGCAGAATTCTAGGCATTAAAGATTATTGATAGGCTGATGGGTTTATTGCAAGAAATGTGGCTGGGCAAAAGTCGCTGCTCGGTTCCGTGCTGGACCCGGTGGCCGATAAGCTGTTGATCTCGACAATGTTCGTCACGCTCACCTTTTCGAATGCTCTGCCCAGTCGGTGTCTTTTTACAGTTTTTACAAATGAATTTAGTGGCTCTCACGGCGGTGGTTTTATTACGAGATGTCTGTCTAATAATTGGCGGTTTCTACAAGCGATACAAGACGATGGAGCCACCATATTCATTGAATCGGTTTGATTCTATTTACATTGTTTTTTTTTGACGTTTTCTATTTAGATTCTTCAACCCGACGGTATCGTCGATGCAGATTATGCCGACTTTAATGAGCAAGGCAAGACTTAATTGTATGTTTTTATCCTTCTTCAGATCAACACCGTGCTGCAACTGACCGTGGTCGCTGCCTGCTTAGCTTCACCCGTGTTCGATTGGGGCCCGATGGCGCAGGATGGAGTTACGGCTCTATGGTGTGTCTCGACTAGCGTTTTCTATTGTTTTGTTTCTTTCGAAGAACGTTTTTTCGGCAATCCGTATGTGACGCTTTTCAACGCCCTCTCTGACCCTCCTGTGAAATGACGGTGAATTTGCAGAAAAAAAGCGCTTTTTAGACGGCGTTCTTAGTTGCAGGAGGGCCGGAAGATGCGCGAGAAAGTGTTAAATCGGGTTTCCGGTTCTTTCGCAGTATCGAGGGGGGGGGGAGTTAATCTGGAAATTTCTAGTAACTTAAGAAGAAGTCTTTTAGCAGTGCGTTTGGTAAAATTAAACTATATTCCAAATATAAAAATATCCAAAAGTCTAAATTGGGCGAAAAATCTATTTTTTTTCGGGTTTTTTTTTTAATAAATACTTGTAAAGTTTCTACGTTTAGGAAAATCGCAAACAAAACAGTTCTGCTCTTTATATTAAAGAATTTTGCCCCCCCCCGATAATGCGAAAGAATTGGTTTTCCTGTTTTATTTGTCTCTGAAGCATTTACTAATCTGAAATGGAGTTGGATCGAAAACGTTAGAAAAATACAAAAATCTAATTTAGTTGGGCGACCGGCTTGACGACGATCTACTCGGGACTCCAGTATGCCACCGGAAGCGCCTTCAAAAAGATCCGATAAACCCCCCACTACATTTTCGACCTCACTTCCAACATTGTGATATATTATTTTCCCGCCTGAGGCCCCACTCGGTTTTTCGCATGTGAATAGATTTTTTTTGCGCGCTGCCTCTTGTTGGACCAGCAAAACGGAACACTTGCCGACGCGAGGAGAAGGATGAAAAAGATGGGCGCGCACGGCACTTGGCTACAAAGATCCGCACCGACTCTCATTGGACCGACGAGAGCGCGTGGATCAACGGCGGGGCGGATCAACTGCGCGCTCCCCGGCTAATCTTTCGCGCCCGGCCGATTTTTAGGGATGCGGGCTGGGTGCGGAAAGTGGACGTGAAAGTGGCAGCCGGCGGCCATCGCGGGCATGGATGAAGATGGGTGATATGAGATGGATGTGAGACGTCACGTGGGGACGAGAGCTGAACCCCCGGAGCTGTCCGTTCGGATCATTCCATTCAACCGCGCCCTTTGATAGGCATGCGTTTGTTTTTTCGTTGTTGATGATCACTCGTTATTTGGTCATTTGGTTCTCCAAGGTGGGGGGTGTTGGGCGAGAAGCCGCTGCGACGTTTTCGGCGAGTTCGGGTGCGTCAGCGCGGGACGATATTTATTTTTTATGAGCTCCTAGAAAAATTGCAAGTTTATTAGAGATGAATCATCGTGGTGGTTATTTTGGTAAAACGATGAATAATCTCTGTAGTAAGCTAGCGGAGACCTTCCGAGCTTTAGCTTTTAGAGTCAAAGGTGTCCAAGGAAAAGCTCGGCGATCACTAGGTACGAAAACGCGCGGCCTTTCTCCCATAAGCTATCTTTAGATACCATTCGCTGACCGGATTGTCATTTCGGATAATCTTCAGAACTTTGCATCCCCCGGCCTTCCGCAACGTGTCAGCTTACCCACCCTCGATCCATCTGAATTCAACGAATTCAGTGGGCTATTTGACGAATGGGGAAGACTCGTTTCGTGTGAGTCAGTTGGAATAGACACAACAGCGCGGCGGCATCCGGTTTTTATTGTTTAGAACTTTTGGCCAAACAGTTTTGGCAAGTCCAAGTTGGGAGTACTGTAGTCGCCCTCCCGGAGGAACATCCCATTTTGCGGCAGTTTTCGCATTTGTTTTCCAAAATGGACCTCTCCCAGCTTGTCAGGAGCCGCAAGACAGCGGGCTAGCCTCGATGCTTTGCTTTACAGCTAAAAGCAGGCTAGCAGAGATATTTGGGAAATTTAGGGCAACTAGCGGATATTCTCTCTGAAATGCATAGAAATATGAGAATCGATGAAAACTTTGCAGGGTCAAAGGCAACTGGCAGAGATTCTTTAGGACACTGACCAGGAACTCGAAAATTGGTGATGGCGCTGCCAGCTAGCAGAGACCACTTGGGAAGCCCTCCAGAAACCGGCTAGAGTTTAGGCAGACCAGCAGGGATGATTTGCGGAATGTTACTCTTCAATTCGGACCTTGAAAACCGGATAGAATTTCCCTAATGATCCCCTCTTTCCCTCCAAAGATCAGAATACCGGCCCCCCACACGGTCTCTCGGCTTTTTGAGCTGACGACGGGGATACGGTAGGTTGTGCGCCGTTTAGTGTCGTTGAGGGTCAGTTTGGCGAACAGGGAGATGTGGATGGCCATGTGGCCGATCAAGCACGGCTAAACCCATCGCCTCCCAGCCCCCCAATATAAACACTACCTCAACATCACGCGAAAACTCGTATTTCCGGGGCGGTTGTGAAATGTTTTTTGGGGTGGTATCGGTTCTCAAAGGGTTTTTGCTCGCCTGCCTAAGTCACATTTTTAGCAAATGGTCGCTGCTAGCTTGCCTTAGATATATTGTGTTAAAAAGTCTTCTCTGCTAGCTTGCCCTAGTAATACCTTTAACAAATGGTCTCTGCTAGCCTCCCTCTGGGAGTTTTCTAGTTTCGTTTAATAAGCTTGATTAGTCTGCCCCCTATGGGCCGATTTCCCAAGGCTCGCCCACATGGTTTTTGCTAGTCTGCCCTCTGCTCCAGTCTTGTCGCCAAGGATCTCTGCTCGCTCTCCCCAGTGGTCTGCGCTAGTCTGCCAATTTAGGAGTCATGTTTCCCCAATGATCCTTGCTTGTTAGCCCCATGAGCTCCTGGTTTTCTAAAAATCTCTGCTGGTTTGCCCATCCCAAGTTTTATCATTTTTGAAAGAAACCCTGCTCGTTTGCCCGCAATTTATCCCTCAAAAGACCTCTGCCAGTGTATCCCGCAGTTTTCATTAATGCGTGCAAAACACTTTGCATGGCTCCCCAATCGGCAACTCATTTCCGAGGGCGCTGATTTCTCCCCCCATCATGCCGAGCAATCCGTGTGCTCGATGGGGAAATATATGCGGTAGATGGATAGATATTGTGCTCGCTCCCTCTCTCTCTCCATCCTCTCTCTCTCTCTCTCTCTCTCTCGCTCTCTCTTTCTCCCGCTCTCTCACTCTCTCTCGGCAGGGTATTCGGCGAACTTTCAAACATTTCCCCTCCCCTCCCATATATCAATCCAGCAAATGTGTGGCCCTCCAACCCTTCGCCTTCCATCTTTTCGACAGTTTATTTCGACTCCTGATCTTTCCTGTCCACATTTAGCCAATGGTATTTAAAGGGGCTGGAAAGGTTCTTTTTTTGGCAAAAATCGAAAAATTCTGACTTCCCGTTTTCCGCAAAAGTGGTATGAGGCTTATTTTCTAACGGCCTTTCACTTTTGCTCTCTCCTCTCTCTCTCTCTCTCTCTCTCTCTCTCTCCTCAATGGTCTCTGCTTGCCTGCCCTCGGATTTTCTCTCGAAGCAAGCTAGCAGAGATTTTTGCAAGCCACAAATCGAAGTCTCTCTCACACTCTTTCGTACTTTTCGATTGCGTACTTATTCGTACTTAATCACTCACACTTTCCCATTCTTTTAGAAATAACAGAGATGAAACCCCTCTCACTGCTGCTGCTCCTCATTTTCGCCCTTCTCTTGGTTCTAGCCGAGGGGAGGAGAATGAACTATCCGGATGAGGACAATTTATCGTAAGTTTTCGACTAGCTGGGCAGCGAGAGAGAGAGAGAGAGAGAGAGAGAGAGAGCGAGAGCGAGTAGTAAAAACCATATATTTAAACGATCTGATTGAATTTTAGGCATCGTCCAATGGCTCGAGCTCGTCGTCTTACCCCGCTTTTCGAGGTTCCGTTCCGGATATGACGGTTTGGAAGCGAGAATCTACCGTAATATGCCTAACTTTTCTACCGCACTTACCGCAGCTCCATTATCGTCTCCATAGTAGCGATCGTTTCTACTTTACCTACCGTAATCCAATTATCGTATCTACCGTAGATATCGTATCGTTTATTTTTCTACCGTTTTTACCGTATCTCCCGGATCTACAGTACGTACCGTACCCCATGACCGTCCCAACCGTACTCCCCCGTCCATCCCACCCCTCGGGCCTACACAGCTTTACTCCTTACACCCCCCATACTTACACAATAATATGTACAAATCACCACTGAATAAATGTATATCTTTATCGATGGAATATATGCAAATTGATTGCTCGTAGTTCATAGCCTCGCATGCACTCCACCCGCAATCACAATCGTCTCCCCTGTGATGTAGGCGGCATCTTCTGGAATTGGGGCAGACTAGTAGAGGTTTTGGAGGAAATTTTGGATGGGTTTTGAGGGGTTAGATTGAAAGAGGTAGCAGAGACCATTTAGGAATTTCCGTCTGGTTTAAGCGACTAGGAGCTAGCAGAGGCCATTTGGCCATTAAAAAAAAACACAATTTGTCTTTCTTTTTCTACTGCAAGCTAGCAACGTCTTTGTGGAAATTCTGGATTATTTTAAGAGACTGGAGAGCCAGCAGCGATCCTTGAGCAATGTTTTTTGAGCATTTTAAGTCCATGGCGGGCTGGCAGAGAATATTTAGGAATTTACCTAGCCGTTTTAGGGATAAAGAAAACGAGCAGAGATCATTTCGGAATTAGCGAACCCAGATATTTCAGGAATGAGGTAGCTAGCAAAGTTTCTTTAGGAATTTTTCAGTTTTTTAAAGAAACGGAGAGCTAGCAAAGATCATTTAAGAATTTTGAGGACTAGGGAGGCTGGCAGAAACCTTGTAGGACCAAAATTTCGAAATTTTGAGCCCATAACAGGCTAGCAGAGATTCTTTAGGAATTCTCCGACAAAAAAACGGCCAATTCTTGTCAGCTTTAAAAAAACACATAAAATCTCCTACCTGACACCAGAAAGGCCACAGCTCCGGCACAATCCTCTGGCACACCAAGGCGACCCATCGAAATCTAAAATTTGACCTATATACCGTATGCCAATGTTGTCAGACCTCCTGCGCCTCCGCCAGCCCCTGTTCGCCCGATTCCCACAGCTGAAAAAAAAAATAAATTAAAAGGTTATTTTCGGAAATTGGATCTATAGGAGAAATCTAGTGCAAGCGCAACTATAAGCTAGTGTACGATACAATACGTTACTGTACGCTACATTACGCTACTGTACGAATTTGTACGCTATTAAAGACCTACTGTACGATAGAGTACGCCAACGATACTGTACGCTAGTGTACGATAAAATACGCTATGTACACTGCTGCCCGCTACCGTACGATATTGCGCACCGTTGTGCGAACGTAACATGCGTTGCAATACGGTAGTACGCGACTGTACGTCGCTGTGCGCTATTAAATGGCAATGTACGCTAGAGTACGATAAACTACGATGCAGTACGCTAGTATACGACATATCCACTTACCGCCTTGCTCATCTTCGTTTTAATAACGCCGGGAGCGATGGCGTTGACGCGGATACGGTACTTTGACAGTTCTTTAGCCAGTGCTTTTGTCAATCCGAGGACTGCCGTTTTTGTTACAGCATACGTGGCAATCATCTAGGATACGAAAGGATACTGTAGATGGGTCACAATTTACCGCTGGGGGGACATAGCCTCCGATTGAGGCGTTGAAGAGGATGTTGCCGGATCTGGAATGGGAGAGGTAAAGAGAGAGAGAGAGGGAGACAGAGAGCGAGAGAGAGAGAGAGAGAGAGAGAGAGAGAGAGAGAGAGAGAGAAACAGAGTAACCCACCCGTGTTTCTGCATATGCGGTACAACCAGTTTCGTCAGCTGCCAACCCGATTTGACGTTTGTCTGAAAATTCATGGAATCTGGTATGATTCCTCAGAAATCTCTGCTAGCGACCCCGTCCTTGAGCTCGATCTCCTCAAGAATCCCTGCTAGCCTGCCCTCACCTCAAACAGCTTATCCCACGTCCTGTCCTCTAGATCCATCATATCTCCGAAAGCTGGGTTGATGCCGTGGTTGTTGACGAGGATCGTGATTTTGCCGAACTTTTCGAGGGTCTGGAAGTGGTTTGGGTTTTTCTCCTCTCTCTCTCTCTCTCTCTCTCTCTCTCTCTCTCTCTCTCTCTCTCTCTCTCCCTCTCCTTAAAACTCACAAAATCGACCAATCTCTTCTGATCATCCCCATTCGATATCTGACACTCGATTCCAACCACATTCTTCACTCCAGCTTTTTTTAGGGATGCGACGGCTTCCTAGGTGGCTCGCCCCTTTAAGTCCTCATAAATCTCTCTCACCTCGACGTTCTGCTTCTTCCGGCTGCAGATGACCACGGAGGCGCCCTCAAGTCCGAGACGTTCGGCGATAGCGTACCCAATGCTAGAAATTTTTGATTTGAAGGGCTATTAAACGGGAAGAAAAATGTTGTTTGAGACTTTCGAGTCTGGAATGCCTTACGACACAAAAATTACAAATTTTCTTCTTGAAAGCGTCGATATCCACTAAAATTTGCCTGCAATTCTCCTTTAAATTGTTGATAATTGCCTTAAATAGGTATACCAAAATAGCTAATAATCTCAAAATTCTCACAAAATAGGTATATTAATAAGGCCAATTCTCTCAAAAAACGATTACGACATGAAACTCCGAAAAAAACCCCGAAACTACAGTTTTCCCCTGTATACTAAAATGACGTCTAAATGTTGTCTTCGAAACGACATTAAAATAATATTTTCAGACAGATTACGACATAAATAAGTCTTAAAAGTCCGAAACTACGCATTTCTCTACTTACAAACCGTAAATTACCGTACCCCAACGTAGCCGCCGTCACGATGGCCACCTCACCCTCAAAACGATGAGCACGAACTTGTTGAGGCATTTTCGAAGTGGAAAATGAGGGCAGTTATCAGGTATTTTTGGAATGTGTGAACGGGCCGCAAAGAGATATCTGCTCGGACCCTTTTCTTATCAATCATACCAGGGGCGACAAACTACGGAGAGGGCAGACTACGAGAGAAAGAGGGGAGAGAGAGAGGAGAGAGAGGGAGAGAGAGACGCGCAGACTACAAAAGAAATTATCAGAGATGACAGCCGATTAAATGATGAGCGAAATTTGGGTGAGAAATGATCGGCAAAAAAACAGCTAGCGAACCCGATTCGGTTCTGGTGGCAGTTTAAAGGGCCATTGAAGGAACATATCAAAAAAACCCTAAGATCAAAATAAAAATTGGACGCGAAAGACACTAACATAAAATTTCTTTGTGGATTTAGAAAATGTAAATGGAATTTAGAAGTTTAGATCGTATTTCTGAACCTTCCGCTCTCTCTATTTCTTTCTTTATCTAGCTCTCTCTCTCTCTCTCTCTCTCTCTCTCTCTCTCTCCGTCTCCCTTCCTGTAACCAGTAAGGAAATGCATAAATTTTCCCATTCCACGACGCGCCCGGAGCACTCCACCCATTTGTTTCATTTTTACGGGCCGCTACTAGCGACGTACCCCCGGGAGACGATTTCAGAATTTTGTTTTCTGGACTTGGGAACTGGTTCTTCAGGCTTTCCGAGTTTTAGAATTTGGGATTTCGAATTTATTCTGGACTTGGAAATATCAGGAGGAAAGGGAAAGAGAGGGAGAGAGAGAGAGTTTTTGAGCCGAGTATGTCATTTGCAGAAGGCCCGTTCGGGTCGTATCGAATTTTGCAAGGCAGAATGGCTATTTTTTTATCTAGCTCATGCTCACTTACTTCATCTCTCTCACTCTCTCTCTCGCTCTCTCTCTACCTCTCACTCTTTCTCTCTCACTCAATAATCACGTATTACAGTACCCCGATTCTGTCAAAATTCGTCATCATTGGGGGTGGTTTTGTGGGGGAGAGATGGCTATTTGAAAGCCGTGTCTTTCTTCGAGCTCTTTCTTCCCCCTTCCTCCTTCATCCTGAATTCATGAAAAAACGGCATTGAATCCGGTGTGTAGTAGAAGGGGAAGGAGAGAGAGACACAGAGAGAGACAGACATACAGACAAACAGAGATGGACACTCTCATTGCCACTTCCAAAAATCGTTCAAAAATGAAAACAACGCGCTAACCCGACTTTTATATTGCGTAATTGATTCGAACCTGACTGGCAAAGATTATCTAGTTATTAGCTTCTTAATACCTTGAAAAGCCATAGATTTCTAAGGTTCCAAGAACCTTTAGACCTTTAGACCTGCAAAAATCTTGTTTTCAAGGGTCGTTTCAACCAAAAAAACCATAATCCTGTTTTTGGTCCCTTACAAATCCATAGCTTACAGACCCCTTGAGAACACTAAGATGATTTTCAAAGCACCTACAAGCCATAAATCTATAAGACGAATCATGTCCTCAGGCTTGTCGGCCCCTTTAAAAGTCTCGCCTGGTCCAGGTGACCTTTTTTAGGGCCCCTCCAAAGGGCCCATTTTCTGGGAATTTCCACCTGTCGATCAATTCCCAACTTTTCAGGGGGTCTTTGATCCATTCTGCCTTCCCTACATTCCACACCTGTCTCCAAAATATCAGATTGAAACTTTGGAAATTGGGATTTTAAAGTTTTTAGGATTTCGTTTGATCGCTTTCTCTCTCTCTCTCTTTCTTTCTCTATCTCTCTCTGTCGCTCTCTCACCTCTCTTCTCTCGCTCGAAGGCTATAGAAATCTCTCGCCTTCGCTATCTCGCTCGCTCGCTTTCTCTCTCTTTTCGCTCTCCTCTCTCTCTCTCTCTCTCTATCTCTCTCTGTCGCTCTCTCACCTCTCTTCTCTCGCTCAAAGGCTATAGAAATCTCTCGCCTTCGCTATCTCGCTCGCTCGCTCGCTCTCTCTCTCTCCCTCTCTCTCCTCTCTCTCTCTCACTCTGCCTCCCTATCTCTCTCGCTCTCCTGTCACCATCCCTTTAAAACAATTCAACTGTTTCTGAATGCCCATCCCCTTTTTCTATACCTCCAAGTAAAGAGGATAATGAAGGCCCGATCTCATTTTGTGGGATCGTGGGATGGAAGAACTCGAAAATTACCCTCCAAAGTACGATAATAGGGCCCATATATTGCAGCAGCACTTTACTTTTGGAACCCGGCAGCTGGAGCTGGGATATTTCCACAAATGAATTCTGCTTGTTGCCTTCAGGGGGATCGGGTCCTTATTTCTTGAGGGTCCTTGCTAGTTTGCCCTGGGCCTCGCACTCACGCTCTCTTGCTCTCTTGCTCTCGCTTACTCTCGCTCCCGCTCACTTTTCTACTCTCTCCCTCACGTCTCAAAAAACCCTATTTCTAAAATATCCCTGCTAGCTTTCCGAGGCCTCAAGTGCCCTCAAATAATCTCTGCTAGCCTGCCCTCGCCAATCTTTATTTCATACTACAGGCTGAATTCCTAATGATCTCTGCTAGTTGCTTGATTCCCAAAGAAACGCTGCTAGCTTGCCCTGGCCATACAAAACATAAACCTCGCAAATGGTCTCTGCTAGCTTGCCTGAGGAAGAGAGCGGGAGCGTGAGAGCGAGAGAGAGAGAGAGAGAACGAGAGAGATCAATTAAGAGCTGACCCTCTCTCTTTAAAATAGTCCACCTCCTCCTCCCCCTCCTGCTCCCCTTGTTTCCGGTTGAAATTGGTTGGTGTAGAGTGGTGGTTGTCCCTCGGGGTTGCCATCACCCACTGACACTCATTACCCCGACTCTAATGAGAAGATGATGAAAAAAGGAAGGAGAGAGAGCGAGAGAGAGAGAGACACTCTCTCACTCTCTGTCTGTCTGTCTGTCTTCCACCACTACATCCACTACCACATCCCTCCTCCCCCCCTTCAACCATCCAACAACCATTCAATGGATTACTGAAAACGGAGCAAGACTCATTATTTTGGACGCAATGGGCCACAGGGCCCAACCGGAAGGCCCAAATGGGCCAACCTATTTATTTACCGGAAATAGAGGATCCGAAATGGTCTCTGCTAGCTTGCCGTCTCCTAAAAAATCTTTGCTAGTTTTCCTATTCCAAAAAATCTCGGCTCGTTTGCCTGTTTTTCGGAAGGCTGATGGCTAGAGTTTGCAGTTTTTATGCATGAGAACTCTGTTTATTGCTTTTTCTCGTCGATTTGGCCCCAGTTTTCTCCGATAATTTTACTGAAGAGGCGTCGAAGTCAAGATTTCTCTCTCCGTCTCTCTCTCTCTCTCTCCCTCTTTCTCAATGCTCTCTCTTTCTCCCTCACGCTCTCTCTATCTCTCCCTCTCGACTCCCCCTCTCATCTATCTCTTCAGATGGATGGCCCGTCAACGAGTACAGCCTCAACAAGCGGCAACGGCAACTCGGAGCGGGCCTTGCTCTCCAGATTCCTCTTCTCCAGACAGTCGACCGCTAAAAAGGGTATGGATCACAGTATCCTACCGTACTCAAAATCCAGGCACCGCTGACAGTTCCCCAAAACAATCGAAAAAGAGTAAAGAAGAGGAGAGAGGACGCGATCGTCCTCTTGACGATAGACCGCCGGAATCGCCGAGGACTAGATTTACCAATTTTGCGACAAGGTTAGGGAGAGAGAGAGATAGAGAGAGTGAGAGAGAGGGGCGAAGAGAGGGTGAAGATGAGTGAGAGAGAGGGAGAAGTGAGTGAGTTTTTTTCAGGTCGATCCGCAAGTCCCAGTGGAAATTCTTTAAGCACAAAGCTTTCTTCGGAAGTACGCAGGGATCCACGTCACGGCCACTGTAAGTTTGTCGTATTTTTCGCAAGCTAGCAGAGACCATTAGGGCAGGCTAGCGATGATTCTTTGGGGATTTATCGCGGTTTTTTTGGTTTTTCCGAATTCAATTTTTCCGTTTCTTAAATGGTCACGACTAGCCTGCCCACCCTATCTCAATTCCCAAATGGTCTCTGCCATCTTGCTAACAATTTTCGACCCCGGGCAGGCTAGCAAAGATCATTTGGGACCTATTCCTGGACGTCGACTCCTTTTAGAAAATCGTTAGGGCCTCCTAGTAGGCAGGGGGCCGGGCAATGAGATATGGGTTTCGGGGGGTGCCTCTAGAAGAAGCAGAAGAAGAAGGCCGATTAGCGGGGGTCAATTAGGGGGAGAAGCTGAGAGAGAGTGAGAGAGAGAGAGCGAGAGAGAGAGCCGAGGCGTCTCCTTCTCATTCTCAACCATCCATTCTTCTTTCTACTCTTCAGAAGAGGTCCTCCTCCCCTCCGTCCCGTCACTTGCCCCCCTCATTTCACCTGCCCTTACTTGGCTTTTGGGGGGCTAACCTTCTTTCTAACCTTTTTTTTTTAGCGTGGCAGGCTAGCAGAGAAGACTTGAGTAAATTGGCCCTGGGTGAGGCTAGCTAAGATTCTTCAGGATCACTTCAAGCCCAAGACAAGCTGGCAGAGGCCATTTATGAAACAAAATATGAAACGACAGCTAGCAGGAACTTTTAGGGAGTCTATTAAACGCGCTGCAGAGTCGTATGGAAAGTTGTAGAGACCATTGAGGGCTTCCTAAAGAATCTCTGCTAGGTTACCAGACCAAGTTGATCTGGATTCAGCCTTTTCCGCTATGGTCTCTGCTCGATTGCCCTGACTTCTTGAAAGGAGGCTGTCTAGTGGGACGCTGTTCTCAAAGAATCTCTGCTAGCGTACCCGAATTCCTAATGGCCCCTAAATTAATTTTTTGAATTCCTCAACGTTCTCTGCTAGCTCTATTCCGCAATGATCACTGTTAGCCTGCCCTTTGCTCTCTGCATCTCTCTCTGTCTCTCTCTGTCTCTCTCCCGCCCACAGCTTGTCATCCCGATCCCCCAAAAAGGTGGGGAGGTCGAAATGGGACACGCGACAATTCGATTATTTCCCCTTCGCGATGTCCGCCTCGTCACCTTGCCTTTTCGCGGCGGGACCACAAAAATTACCCCCC